ATATTCCTTTATATGTGGTTCAGAGTTCTGGGACCATCCCCTGAGCCTCCTTGGTCGGGTATTCTGTGTTGTTACTGGCGGAGCTCCTTTACTGCACTTCCACCTGATCTGCCATCTTGTTTTTTCTCTCCCTCCTGCTCGTTTTTGACTGCCATTAACTTGATATATTTTTTCCATCCTTTAATTTTTAATCTGTTTCTCTTTGTGTGTAAGGTGTGTGTGTCTGTTTTAGACAGCATATTGAAGGATCCTGCCTTATCCAGTTTGTTACTCTGTCTCTTGACTGGTGTATTTAATCCAGTGACATTCAGTATAATTATTGATAAGTATGAATTAATTGCAGTCATTTTCCTGATTTTTTTTTGTGTGTGGTGCTACTGATTTCTTTGTTCTGCATGTTTTCCTGTGCTGAATTCAATTTTTTGGGGGTGCTTTTTCTTGACAATTTCCTCATAGTTTCAATTCAAAATTCAATTTCTTCATAGTTTCAATTATCATGTAATTTATTAATTTCTTCCCCTTTTTTAAACAGTCTGTTTTACCTTGAAATCTATTTGACGTCCTTGCCATTTGTTATTCTTTAACTATATTTTTCCCTCTTTTTGCTGTGTAGTTGTCTTCTTTATATATTGATAACTCTGATTTTCTATTTTCAGCCTTGCAGTTTTGTTTTACTCTGGATACTCCTATATCTGGATTGAATTCTTGGTGGTGTTGCCATACACATCAGTCTGCTGTTGTTGGGTCTCTGTCCAGAGGACCCCTGTTAGTATTTTTTGTAAACTTGGCTTGATTTTTTTTTTTCCAACTTTTTTATTGTGCATTGAGTGCAGGTTTACTGACAAGATAATCAGTTTTACATTCAGCAAATCATACACGTGTTTCATCTCAATGATTACAATCCCCTCCCTGCAATAACAGTTATCCTTCTTCCTCCTTGTGGTTCCCCATTCATATCTTATAATTCACAAATGAACAAAGCAAAAATACTTGATGCACACATAGAAAACAAAAAACATATATTCATTTAAATGTCTAAAGGGCATATTTCTGCAAACCAGCCTCCTGCCCACAGGCACACAGCCTTACTCAGTCTATGGGCCTAGAGTCTGCATCTGCTCTGTCTCTCCATGCCACCACCTCTGCCACCGTTTCTGCTGGCCTCGGTTTTCTAAGCAGGGATCTAATACTCCATACATGCTCTTCCTTCTTGATGGTCTTTGGATCATCTGTTCCTGATATAGAAGATTAACTACTTTCCCTTTTAGTTATACGTCTTTTACAATTACAGTTTTGGCTATCACAATGAATCCTGCTAATGGTTACTCACAATTAAATCATAAAATCCTATCATCATCCTCCACTCCCTTTCACCAGACACATCTTGAAAAAAGAAAAGCTGTTCAGTGGAGAGATTCTACCTTACCCTTCCTCTTCAGAATGAAGCTAAGCTCACCCATGAAAGCTTATAGCCCAGCCAGTTCATGCCTTGAGAGTTCCCATTTTTGATAGTCAATGTCTAAATTGTCCTTATCAAGACAGTACACCGAAGAGATAAGTTTTTATTGATAAGAAGAATTTTTCATCCTGGCTGGAATTTTGAGCAACTGCATCCATAATCAAAATCAAAAGTCCAGCTCATCAAATTGTAGCGCTTTACACTTGTTCACAGTATCAAGCATCTTTATCTTCGTCTGGTTGAGTTCTGATCAGCTCATCCCTAGCCATCCAGTGTCAGACGGGCATCTGCAAGTTTGAGAGTTCACACACTTTCCCTGCA